AAAATAACAAAAATAATGAACAACCATATACCAGAGACATTTTGTGGGGGTGGGGAATGGGATCAAAAACGGGGGTCGGGGGGGAGGGAAATGCACGGGACTATGGTGATGGCACATGGGTGAGTTGGTGATGGGAAAGCCGCAGGGATTACAATCGAGATGGAAAAAAAAATGTACAAAATGATGTAAAAATAAACTTTTATAATAAAAATAATAGGTTCTCAAAAAAAAATACAAAAAAAAAGAATTGAATAAAAAAATGGTATCTTCATTTTGGCAAGCTTCTGGTTTGCTTTCTTCTGGAATAAAAACTTTTAAAATTAATAATATGTAGATAACCCCATGGTAAAGGTAAAATGGGTAAATTTGAAAAGAAAAGGGATTTAGAAAACATTAAGATTCTTCACTGTAATGTATCAAAACAGTCTAATTCCAAGTCCTATGCCATCTAGGAAGTTGATTTTCCTCTTCATTTTCACAACTAAAAGCTATCACAAGACCCTCCCTGGTGGCGCAGTGGGTTAAAGCTAAAGCCACATCAGCATGAGCTCCATCCCCGCACTGGAGGTGATCCACAAGGCAAGGCAGTGGACTTTGTCAGTCGGCCTACTCTGCTCCCCACTCTGTTTCTGGTGAATTCTCTCACTGCCCCTGCATCTCTGGCCTGTACCTCAGCTCTGGATGCATAAATAAATAAATCTTAAAAAAAAAATTATCACAAAAGGTGGCCAACAGATTAGGAAGGCATAATACTTATACGTAGGCATAAACCTCACGAGAGCTTTAAAATACATGAGATCAAAACTAACAGATTAAACACAAGAAGAGATAATCCTTAAATCTCTGACAGAGATTTCAACACACACCTCTCAACAATAGACCAAGCTAGGTTTTAAAAAAACTAAGACATAAAAGATCTGCCTAAAAATATTCGGTCCTTTAAGTTAATTATTTATATAGTAATGTACTCACTATCTGTACTTGACACTCCTAGAGAGTATTGATCAGTGATTTTGTAGAACATCCCTCGGTCTAAGTCTGCCCAATCCTTTTTCATTACTGGAATAAAGTTACACATTTTTGGCAAGAATAGAAGAGAAATTCTGTTGTCTCCTCAGTGCGGTGAGGCTCATAGGGTCAATGTACTTAATTATTGGTGATGTTGATCACTTAGTTCTGGGGGTGGTTGCTGTACTTCTTCACTGAACAGTTATACTGCCTCCTTTATAGTTAATATTTCCTTTTGGGAGATTCTTTGAACTATGCAAATCCTGTTTTTCCTTAAAATTTCCCCCACTAATCTTACTTTTCACTGGTGGATCTTTTCTGTAAGTTATTACTGTGTTTGTCTACTGATGATTTTCTATTTTTCTCTTCTCCATTTATTCAAGGAATTCTAATCCAAGGTCAGGTTGCTCCTCCATTTATTTATTTTGTTGATTACTTATGCCATATGGACTCATGGATGCTTGTTTTATCCAACTGTTTAAAATTTAATACTTCATTTTCTATTTTGCTCAAATTATTCCAGCTTTGTCACTAGGAACTCTTTCAGGTTTGTTATTGTGGGTTTTTAAAAATAAATCCTTGTTTCCCTATTTATTATATTTTCTACACAAGATGGACCAAGAGTCATCTTGTATTCTCCCTGCCCCTTCCATGGAATCAAGCCACCTAAGACAGACTTAGTTCCTATTCTTGGAGAATAGGGTTATAAAGCAAGATCTGAGCACTAATAGCACTCATGCTCCTGGGGTTTTTCTAGGGTCTCTTGGCAGATGAAGCTAGGAAATCAATGTATATGTACTAACTCACACAGGCACACACATCTATATTTCTTTACCTATTGATGTGCATATTAAAAACCACAAGTTTGTACTGTTCTTCTGATTCCAATTTATCATCACAATAGTCATCTCAACCTTCCATATTTCCTTATTTAAAGCCACCTTCTCTGATATTGAGAAACCTGACACATCATAATTCCTAGTCCATATCCTAAGAAAAACTCGTTATGAGATCACAGTATTTAAACAGTATTTTTATCTGTAGCCTTATCACAACAGTCAGAATTCCAGTTACTTAGGTAATTCTTTTCTCTATCCTCTTCAGGATGGTTACATTATTCTTTTAAATATAGTTAAGTTCATTTGTTAAGAGTTTGTGTTCCCTTTTACACTACCACTTCTATAAGCACCCCCTATGCACTCTGCTTAGTTGCTGATGTTATTATGTGAAGGCTATGAGAATCATTACTATGGTCTAAAGACTATGAACTACACAAAAAGATACACTCAAGGAGATGTCACATCTTTTATTCCTGTTACTTCATTCTCATTGTGCCTGTCTTTCTGTCCCACAGGTAATAGGGATACCATAAGAAACAGTTTCCTTATTTGCAGTTTATTCACCCCATATTTCTTTTGTACAAATGTGAAGATGTGTATTTCTCAAATCTGATTCTATAATATTACATACTCTTTTAGACTTTGACTCTTTTTTTTTTCATTTAATAGGACATTGTGGGAGTCATTCATTAGTTCAGAAACCTTCAATCTTATTCAAAAAAATGTGTATTCCTCCACAGTGTGGATGGATGAACATTTAAGTCATTCTGTTATTTTGCAAGTGAAACACTTTACTGAATGATCCCATATGTGTATCCTCAAAGTGTTGGAAGCGTATTTTCAAGACAGATCCTTATGAAACCACTGAGTTAAAAAGTGCATACCCAGTTTTGTAGTTTTGTTAGGCATTGCCAAATCTGCAGTCTATAAGCAATGTTAGACAACGCCTATCCACAGCTGTTTTCAAAAACTGTAATGTCAGATTTTAAAATTTTCTTATCAGCAATAGGTGAAAAAGGGTATCTCACTATCATCTTAGTTTGCATGATCTCAGATGAGTGAATTTGGACATTTTTCATACGCTTAAAGTCTATTTTTATACCTTTTTTGGAAATCATTTAGTTTTATATTTATTCCCAATGCTTCATCAAGTGATCAAGGGATAACAACCCTTTGTGGAATATGTTTCAATTATACCACACTTTCAAAAAAAAAAAAAAAACTAAATTCTACCTTATTCACTAAGACTTATGTTCCCCTAATATCTTAGGTTTTTCTGTTCTAAGACCCCATCCAGGATTACACAATTTATTTAATTTTCATAGCTCCTAAGTCCCCTCTTGGCTAAGACAATTTCTGAGGTTTTCCTTGTTTTTGATACCCTCTATAGTTTCTTTTTTAACACAAATTTTTTTTTAAGATTTTATTTATATGCACACAGAAGTGGGGTACAGGCCAGAGGTGCAGGGGCGGCAAGAGGATTCACCAAAGACAGAGTAGGGAGCAATACAGGCCAACTGATGAAGTACACTGCTGAGGGGAGCAGCAGGCAGGTCAGGAGAGGTCGGCCTGCACCATGTGGATCACCTCCAGGGTGGGGATCGAACTCATGATGAAGTGGCTTTAGCTTCTTAGTGCTGTGTTTTAACCTGCTGCACCACCAGGGAGAGCCCAAATGTTTTTTTAAAAAGATATATTTATTCATGCAGACAAGAACTAGGGTACAGGCTTGAGATGTAAGTGTGGGGAGGTAGACAAGAGTGGGGAGCAGAACAGGCAGATGTACTGAAATACACTGCTGAGGGGTGCAGTGGGTGGGATAGGTGAGGCCTGTCACACCACATAGGTCAGCTCTCTGACTGGGGATTGAACTCCCACTGCAGGGCTGTGGATAGCCTTACAGTGCTGTGCTACAACCCTTTGAGCCACCAGGGAAAGCCAATGCCCTCTGTAGTTTTGAGGCATACTGGGCAGGTAGTCATAAAATGTTTGACACTTTGTATTGTTTTTTCATGGCTATACTCATGTTACTTGTTTGGGGTGGAAGAAGAGAACAAGAATGTGCCATTCTTATCACATCCTATCAAGATTACGTATTATCAACATGACTTATCTTAATGATATTAACAGGGACTCAGGGACTCACTGACTAAGTATTTGCCAAGTTTCCCTAGTATAAAGTTGTTTTCCTCCAATTATAGTGTATTTTCACACACAGGATAGTAGTAGTACATTAAATACTCTAGAAACATGAAAAAAATAAATGTCCAATAGGAAACCCACAATCTAATAGTGCAAGTATATTTTTATAGGTCTATACTGTATTCAATCTAAGACGTAAGTGATAACTTTCATAAGAAATAGAAAAGACAGCACAGTTCAGAAATGAAGAGATTATGTAGACCAGCAGGTAATAGTGTGGGTGATGTGTGTGCTAGTCTCTGTGGATACAGACCAGTACTGAACTGTAACTCCAAGGATATTTGAACTTAATTTTTTTCAGTCTGTAAAAGGTGATAGTGACTACTATCCTGTAAGGTTGTTCCATATATCAGCATGCTACCTATCAGAGGGGAGTGCTTAATAAGGATTTATTGTTATTAGCGATTTTGAATGTAGGAAGAAGCCCTGCAAGGCATTCATCAAAGATATCACTTTGGTCACCCTGAGGAGAAATGAAGTCAAACAAAAAAGAAATAACCTGGGAGGCCTTCATGGTGGCGCAGCAGGTTAAAGCGCAGCACTAAGAATCGAAAGCCACTTCTGCATGAGTTCGATCCCTGCCTGCTCCGGAGGTGACCACATGGCGCCGCAGACCTCTCCTGACCCGCCCGCTGCTCCCATCGGCAGTGTACTTAGTTGATATGCCTGTTCTGCCTCCCACTCTGTCTCTGGTGATTCCTCTCACTGCCCCTGCAACTCTGGCCTGTACCCCAGTTCTGTATGAATAAATAAATAAATCTTAAAAAAAAAAAAGAAAGAAAGAACCTGGAACTTAGCAAATTTTAGGATTAAAACAAAACTAATATATCTGGACCTAAGTCATCATTTTATTGATGAAGACTTAAAACCAGAAAAATTAAATACTTTACCTAAGGTCACATACTTCCTGGATTAGACATTAAAATTTTTACTACATCACAACTTAATGATGGTACTTCTCAAAGAAATGAGTTTCCCATAGTTCTGATTAAAAAAACTGCTTACTCGATCTGCCTGTTCTGTGCCCCACTCTGTCCCTGGTGAATCCTCTCACCCTCCGCATCTCTGGCCTGTACCCCAGTTCTGTACGAATAAATAAATAAATCTTTAAAAAAAAAAAAACTGCTTAAGTACACATTATTAAACTAGTATCTATGAAGATTTGTGTCTGTTTAGAATGGTCGAATGGTCCTATTGAACTAAAGAGAACAAATCTTCTATCTCATCTGACTGATACAAGAAATTAAGAGTAAAAGATGAAAAATCACTTTATCATGATACCTGAGATGTACCAAATATCTGTAAGATATGTATACAAGATACTAAAATATCAAACGGAATTTTCACAAGATGCCTGTCCAATAAGGAATGAACTCAAGCACAGAGCAAGTAATAAAGGAACAAGGCTATAGTCAAGAAATGAGAGTGACCCCACCACATGGGAGGGTCAAGAGTTATTATATGTGGGTAGGCCCAAGAAAATTAGGGTAAATCTGCTCTTCATCAAAACAAAAATCTCAAGTAGATGTCTTAAGAAAAGAATTATCTGGCCTGAATCTATGAAATGAAAAGTAAATACTATTAAATCTACTTTTAATTTTTTTAAACCAGTTAGCTGTATTAAAATGTTAAGTCAATATCCTTGGACTAAACTGAAAATTATCCTCTCAAGTCTCCCTAAGTTTTACAATGTCTTATACTTATTGTTTAAACAAGCTTACGTAGGTTTCTAATTTCCTCCCTGATAATTTATTATTGTTGATTGTCAGTTTTAAGTGACTTAACTTTTCTACTAATATCAACTACCCAATCATGTCTTTGCAGAATAAAAGAGATATATTTGTCCTATAATTTTTAATCACTATTTTTCCATAACAATGCCCCTATTATTATAGTACATAACAGTATGTTCAGCTTACCAAATTGAAGTAAAAGGTCATCTTCTAGTACAGGCTTCAAATACTCTTCTTTCTCCCAAGGCACTGGGTTGTATATGGAATTCATATACTCAACAGTAGGATTCTGGATATAAAATTAATTGCATGTGACTTTACTGCAGGTAATCTCAAAATCCCCTAGCAAAAGTACTAGGAAATTAAACAAAACAAGAAATCACATCTATATTATACAAATCTTTATCTATTTAAGGAACATTATTACCTGCCATTTCATTAACTTGACTGGATGAGAGCTAAGTTAATGGTCTCAATGCAGTTTTTTTAAAGTTTGGATTTGGGAGATGTGACAATATAAACATTAACTTGAACAGAACAGAAAGAAGAACATATTTGAAAACACGGAACAAGAGCAACCGAAGTACTTAAAAATCACACTAGGAATTATTTCTGATTTTAAAGAAATACTGTCTATTAGCATTTCCTTTTATCTAACACTGAATTGCTTTTCACATACACCCATTTTACTTATTAGACACAACTAAAACCAACACTTGTGTTAAGTATGGTGTGTAGACCTTTACTTGGTGTTACATGTTGTACTAGTTCCTGGAGTTCATGATTCACCCAATATAAATGCCAAATTTAAAACATTTCCTTATATAGCAGTTCTTTACAGTCAGTATGGTTTTTCTTTAGTTTCCAAACAAAACTATAAATTACCAACTTACCTTAAGTCTAATAAAATTTATTAGTTTTATGTATCCATAAAATTCAAGTCCTAAAGTGGGAGGGAAAAAAAACAAGTCAATTCACCTATTTTTTTTTTGTTTGTTTGTTTTATTACAATGCTTTTTTTTAATTTTTTTTAATTATTACAAAAGTTTATTTTTACATCATTTTGCAGACAATTCACCTATTTTAACAAATGACTTCTGTTTGATTACCTTGCTTTATAGAGGTTTCTTGGAATAGATAATATTTCTTCTCTACTATTTATAGTATTTTAATTTCTTATTAAGAGAAAGAAATAACTTGCATTTCTGAATATTTTAACTGAGAGTCAGCGATGCATGACAAGTTTCTTAAACACTTTTCTAAAAAACATTTCTAAAATGGAAAATCAATTTTTAGAATTCTATTCCTCATGTGTCAGAACCTGGAAAATTTAAGTTCTAGATTTTACCATGTATTTATCAGTTAACGTTAAGAGCCACAGGTTGGTAGGTTTTCCCAATTTTTATAGTGTCTATCGGATTATAATTTCATTAGAACATGGAATACCAAAATATACTAGCTTTTATATTAACTTAAATGATGCAAATTAAAAAACAATTAGGTTATAATCTTCCAAAAATGAAGCATTTAAAACTACAGAAAATAATAGCATATATAAACAATTGGTTATTATGTGTTATGAGAAATTTGATAAAGAAAATCTTAGAAGACATTATTTATATGCAAAACCTTATTTGGTAAGAGAAAAAATAGAAAATTATATTTAAAGTATTATACCAATTCAATTGAAACAAGTACACTAAAATCACTAACAAAGAAAAAACAACATTAAGTCATTCATGTTTTACAAAAGAGTATTTGCAACTGAATTTGTGAGTACACCAATTATGTATTTTGTTTTTAATGGAATAACCTAACTCTTCTATACCCACTTAAAGGAGTGGAAGTTTTTCACTGTATGTATAAACACAGGTTTCAACAGAATCATGGTCTGAATATTCTAACTTACCTCCTTAATAACTTCATTACTCTTTATTTCTTCTCTTTTACTAAACTCCTTATAAAACTCAATCATATACCTTAAAGTTTATACCATCATCTGACCTAGTATTTTTTTTATAATCACACACTTCCTTTTCCAAAGTCAATTCTACAACTGTTGTCTAATTCTAATACGATTAAAAAATACCACCAAGTTTTTATTGGTTTTGGTTGTGAAGTCAGTATAAGCTTAATACAGTGAACTTTATGTACAAGAATGATTTCTTTATTAATCTTTCCTCAAAGGTCACCAGTCAAAAACTTTATTTTTGTAAGTTAAATTGTTATACATTTCATTATACTGCATGTATATAGAAAAGGTATGGAAAAAATAAAAGTTGAAACTTAAATTTCATAATGGAAACTTTGTTCTAAAAAATACTCACCATGTTTATGGACCATGTTACCAATATTAAACTGATGTTCAGACTTACAGTGTGAAAATGTTTCTTCAGCAGATGTAAATAACCTGAAAAAAAAAAAAGCAAGAGCTTCATGGAATCATTCCCACAATTCTGAACATTGATTTCATCTTAAATATACACTTTCCCCCCAGTCTCTAGTTTTATTTCCAATTAGGAAGAAATATCCTTATAGATGAGAAACCCAGTACTTCCAAAGAGAGTATTTCTGAGTTCAATTTTATACCTAGAACTACCCTTTAAATGTCCAGATCAATTTATCTGCCAAAAAAAAGCACTGAATTTATCAAAAGGCTTTTAAGAAAGAACACTCCCTTTGACAGATTCTTTTCAGTCCTTAAAACTCCCTACATGAGATTCTTTTCTCCTCTAGGTGTTAACTATGCTTTCAAAGGTTTTGAAATAGCACAGCTTAACCTGCTTTTTAGAAATAAAGCACAAAATGTAATTTCACAGCTGGCACATTCCCAAAGTACTACATTTCAAAAGTTATCCCCCTAGTGTCCACAAAGACCTTGCATTATAGGCATTGTAAAGATTGAGCCTCTTCATTACACGACCCGCAAAATGAAGGACACCTAAGGTTAGCAATATATTAACAGAAAAGCCATACTTTTTGGTAGCACATACGCAGTTCCTAGTTTTAACCAGTGTTTACCGCGGCTGGTTATTTCTGCAGTGTTTATGTGGCCTATCACAAAGGGCATCGTGGGAGCTGTTAATACTTTATGACAACTAGAGTATACGCAGACATACTATACTTACCCAAATCTAGGAAAAAATAAGTTTGAATTTTTTTAATATACTACCAAAAAACACCATGCTCAAGTTTAGGGGATAAAAAACGTTTATTAACGTCACACAGGTCAATGCCAGCCAGGCCTCTTTCATGCCTACTTGCCCAGGACAGCAGCCTCCGTCAAAGCTTGTGAAGAGGCAAAATTTTAAGTGGAAAGAATACAAGTTTGGACGTAAGACATACCACACCTCTGTGATGGTGAACAAGTTGAAACTGCAGACTCCATTTTCATATGAAAATGCATTGAAAAAGACATCTATTCCTCCCCCTTCAATTGGTGGGGAACCTCAGCTATGCCAAGGGACTAAATGGCTCAAATGAAATGTTGCACCTAAGACACTTTCTAGTCTCCAAGACTTAAAGAAACGTAAAGATGGAGAGATGCTGAGAGATCATGTCTTTTTGTGGTTCCCAAGCTTTTTATTCATTTGAATGACTTCATATCGTGCCTTTATGTTATAGAAGATTCCTAGACCTCTCTTATTTAGCAAGCCTGAGGTGCTCAGTTCAGCATCTGTATTTTTTTTTTTTTTTTTGTCTCTGGTGACATAGGCACTCAAATTTGGGCTGTCAAAACCTTCTCATTTTATACATGGAGAGACTGAGGCAGGTCAAAGACAAGTGGTACCACGGGGCTTCCAGGTTTCAGCTCCTCCCTCACACCACAGTGGTCTTCCTTCTCAGCCAACTCTCACTCCGAACCACTGGTCCAAGAATTCGAAGTCGGCCACGTTGGTTCCTGAGCAGAACCACGTGGCGCAGGTCCCCTCGGGCTAGAGCCTGGCACAGAGCTGGACGAACCTGTCACAGAACAGGCAGGGGGTCTGCTGCTTCTCGCGGGGCACCTCGGCTTCATCCTCATCCTCCCAGGCGGCCTCGTCACCGCTGTCTGACAGTTCAGGAAGGTCCTCCTCATCCGCCACCGCGCCTAGCACACACAAACGGCCACATCAGCCCCTGCAGCCAGAGCCCACCCGGCTCACAAGACGCAGGATGGGGGAGGGCTCTCCCCGGGGCGGGAGAGGGGGTAAGGGGACGTTCCTCCTGACCCCCCTTTGTCCCCCCCCCCGTGCCGCGTCCCTCCCTCACCCTCCTTGAAGGCCCGACCCCCCCAGCTCCGCAACCTGGCTGGCGCCAGAGGAGAATCTCCCTTGGGCCCCAAGGCTGACGGAGCCCTGCGCGGAGAGGCCGGGGGTACCCACCGGTAGCGCCCGACGCTAACGAGCACATGGCTGGGGAGCCGGATGCGCCTAGGGGCGGGGACCCGGTAGGGTAGCGCGCGCGCGACCGCCGAGGCGCTCTCGGGCCCGGAACCCCGGGAACGTGCGCGAGGGTGAGCACGAGCGCGCAGCGGCGCCGGGACTGCGGAACTCGGGGGACGCTTGGAGACGCGAGCGCGCGCGTTAGCTCGGGAGCGCTTCCGGCTTCGAGGCCGCAAGGTCTATCACGTGAGTCGGGTGAGGCGGGGCTGGAGCCCGGGCCACGCCCCCTCCTGCCGCAGGGTTGACGCAATGCGCGCCGAGTCAAAGATGTAGCTGGGTTTGAGTGTGGAAGGCATGTAAATGCCTATAATCCCCTTCTGGGGCGGCTGAAGGACTTAGCGGCAGGTCCTCCCTGGGTCCCTGAGCCCAGCCGGGTGCGGACGGCATTGCTGTCATTGCGGGTGCAGCCCTTACTGGAAGGACGAGCCGCTAGTGGACGGGGAGACCAGCTCGCAGCGCCCTCTGGTGGTAGAGCTGGCGATTGCAGGAAGAGCCCGCACTAGACTGGTCTCTGGGGTGCAGGACGGAAAGGCAAGTGGATGGATGTGCTAGTCACCTCCTGGGACAAAGCCTGGTGGCCTGCTTTAAGAATTTAGTCTGAATTACAGTGAGAGCGTGGACTCTAGCGCCAGCCTACTCAGTTGGAGTCTTACTTGTATCATTTAAATGATCTTGAGTTACCTAGCCTCTCCCCCACCTACCAAGCCGAAATGATGTCCACAGGGCCATAGTATGAGTAAAATAAGTTAATAGCGGTGAAGTGCTTAGACGTTGTCTTGAAACCACCCCAGGCCAAGTAGGGTCAACTTCGGTTTGGTTAGCTTAAAAGAGAACTGTGGAGGAGCCCTCCCTGGTGGTCTGCCTGTTCTATTATCCACTCTGTCTCTGGTGAAGCCTCTCGCCGCCTTTTAGCCTCTGGCCTGTACCCCAGTTCTGTATGCACAAATAAGTAAATCTTAAAAAAAAAAAAGAGAGAGCGAGAGAACTGTGGAGCCCTTAGCATCATCCCCACAGTTTTTTGAATAATACACAGGGGGAACAAGCCAGCAGTGACACAGCGACCCTCTGTACCTTTTTTCTGGACTTTCTCTGGAGTTCCATTCGTGTTCTCCTCCTCTTGTAGCCCAGCAGTGTCCCCTTATAGCCCTGACCTCTAGAGCCAGGTGTGCTCACTTGCACGAACCCGTGCTCAGGCATCCATAGTCAGGCACATGTGCCCCACACCCACACACCCTTTCCTTAACAGCAAGGCCGCAAGTGACAGCGGGAGGTCAATGGCCTAAAAGCCTGGCCAATTCACTTACCCTACAGTCATGATAAATAATGAAAAGCAGTTGAACTGCGGTTGATCAAGGGAGTGATGTTGTCAGATGTATTTAGAAAGTAGCAGAATGATTTGTGTGGGAAGGACAAACATCCCCATGCCTCATAGTCTTTGCCTCCCCAGTATGTATTAAAACTGTAGCATTCTTTGGTAGGTGGGAGTGGGCAGTAGTAATTTCAGTAGGTGGTGTCGCAAGCTCTAGGCCCAGAGGGTTAGCACTGCCCTAAGCACATTGATCCAATTGAATTGACTAACAGAATTTACTAGGCTCTGCATATTATTAGCACCGCCTAATCTTCCACCCCAACTCAACCCTCCATTCTGGGCCCCATCCCCTAGCCTTTTCCTTGGTGCTGATTTACCCATCTCCAGGCCTTTACTAATAATACTCTATAAAAGAGTAGGTCCTTTGTGTTTCCGCAAGAAAGGCTTTCCTCCCACCACAATTTCTAAAGTAGGTTCTGCTGTTATTCTGGTTGTCCCCAGTGCCTACCATTTGTTTGTTTTGTTTTGTCTTGTCTTGTCTTTTTTTTTTTTTTTGGTCTCAACTCGCAACACTGCACCAAAGGGTCTTTTTCATTTCTGTGGCACCTAACACTTGGCCTAGATACTCAATACATTTGTGGAATGAAAATGAGGCCTTGTAATATTGCTAACCTCTTCTGAGTGGCCCCCCTCACCCCCCCCCCCAATCTGGAGAACGAGTTCCATCTCCTTCCTACAGTCCATATTCCAAGACTGAGTTTGTGAGTGTCTACTCCCTTTTAAGGCCGTATAACCTCTATTCGGGGGATAACCTTTATCTTCTGGCACCCAGCACAGGAGTTAAGATCACTTTCACCACCATCCTTTCCTAGAATGGAAACAATGTGCTCATATTGGTGTTGATCCCTCCAGCCATATCTACCTTTCCCTTTTGCAGTTTTTAGAGTGTGGCACCTCAAGGTACATTTTCACTGGCAATGTGAACACTAAGTGGTTAATCATAGGGATCCTAGACCATAGAAAAACCCAGATATTTTCATTTTATTCATTCATAACATACACTGACTCAGAACAATGGCTTGGAGCTTTCTAAATGCATAGATTCTGGGCTACCCTTGCAGAGTGGTCAAAAATACCAGCTGGTCTATGCCAAAATGTTGACCCTGCCATTTCCTAGCTTCAGGTCTTCAATGTTGAATGCGCAAACAAGGCATTAGCCACAGTGAGCCTCAGTTTCCCCATCTAAAGTAGGGGAATGATAGTTCTACCTTGTAAGGGTTGTTTGGAGGGCTAATTGACAGTACTGAGTGTGTAAAACCTGGCACTTAGAACACTGGGTAACTGCTGACTGCAACAGTACCATCCCATTGACCAAAATACTGCACATTTCCACTGGGACTTGGGCATTTTCTAATAATTTAGGAGACATCCAGATTTATCCATTTATTTTTATTTTTCTATTTCATTCTCCCATGAATTTTATAAGCTTAGTTATATAACAATTTTTATTATATACTCTAAAGAAGTATTAATGCACAATGTTCACTTACATAAATAAAAGCAGTCGGCAGTGGGTAACTCAAACATGAATGTAAACAATTTTAGAATAGAGCTCATCTGCCTACTACATAAAGTTCACACTGTTGCTGTGTCTCTGCAGACAAGCATGTCAAATCTAGCCTCCCTGACAGGAGCATCCCAACCATGGGGGGAAACTCAACCAAAACAAAATAACAGAACCCTGGTACCTGCCTCTCAAAGATTATGATTCAGATGGTCTGCGATAGGCCTATGAATCACTGCTTCTGAAAAGCCTCCTGGGTGATGTGTGGGTGATGTGTGAATATATACAACTATGCTCAAACCACTGATGCATGACATAGGCACTTTTTGATTGGATTTGAATTACTGAAAATAGTGAAACCACAAAGCTGAAGCATGCTGACGTTTCTTAGACCCTGATATTACTCATTCGGTGGTGACTGTTGAGGTGTTACAATAAAGTATTCCTCAGTGTGGTCAAGGCTTGAGAGGGCCACCGGCTTTTCCCAGGTCAAGGATGGCTTTATTCTCCAGTAGTTCTTTCTTGTTGTCGCTTGGTCTCACTGCATTGTTCAGCATCGCTCTAACCAAGGTCACCACAGGAATAGCGTGCCCACTGGCCCAAGATGCTGGTAAGGAGCCAAAGAATTTCCTAACCAACCATTCAGCTGGGCGAGATTCTTGCCTCTCACATAAAAGAACTCTAAAGAGAGAAAGACAGAAGTAGAGATATAAACTGCATTTAGGCCATAAAAGGCCTAAACAGGAATTTAGGCCAAAATTCCTGTTGGAGACCTAATCCCCAATGTGACTGTAATTGAAGAAAGGACCTTTTGGGATGTAATTATGGTTAATTTAGGTTATAAGAGTGGAGTCCTACTCTAACAAAACTGTTGTCCTTACAGAAGAGGAAAAGATAACATATCTCTTTCTCCCTCTCTCTGTCTCTGTCACTCCCTTTCTTTCTCTCTCTCTCTCACACACATACACCCCTAAATACAGTGAATAAATGGTTTTTCTTGGTGATTCAGAAGATGTAGCAAAAGCTATCCAGGAAGTTCTACACTATTTTGAACATGGCACCAACTATCTATCCCATCCTTCAAAAGGTGGGTCGTCACTGAAGCAATCCATCTTACCTCTACCAACTTCTATCTTAGCTATCAGCTTTTACAAAAAGAAAAAAAAAAAAAAAACTAGCTTAGCAGGAATAACCAGAAGTAAAGTCTCTTATGCAGCATGAATACTTATGAGTACTTACCCAGGCCTAAATATTGAGTAACGATCAAATTTTAATTCTTCAACCCTGGCTTCCACTTCTCCCTGTTAACAAAAACCACATTTTCAGCATTTGCTCAAAACCAACTTATTGTGTTGCTGAAAATAATTTGGGTTTTTTAAGATTATCTGCTTCTGCAAGCCTTAAAACTTGCCAATATCCTTATCTAGAATTTTAGATCCCAGAGTCCTAAAAGTTAGATCTTCTACGCCTGCTCTGTAGTACAGTTAGAAAAGACATGCCGAATGAGTGAATGGCTTCAGAATCAGTGCAGCTGCTTATCTGCCTGATGTTAAGGCAGATCTAAGAAGATCAATGACATGCTACTAGTTTAACCATAAAAGAAAACAAACTGCTAGTCCAGAATTAATGCTGCAGGTCCAAAGATAATCAATTTTTTTTTTTTTGTTTGTTTGTTTCAGGACTTCTCTTCAGATACAGTGGTTCCAGTGGTTTAAATGACTCACGGAGCCTCAATATTATTCACTTCTTAAGAAATGCTGCCAAATTTCAGGAGACTGTGGGATAACATTTAGGTTCAAGATAAGGCTTTAATATTAATTTGTTAAACGAACCCTGAATTTTCAGACCAGGCATCTCTATGAACATAAGTGCCAGAGATGCTCAGACCACAGGTCAGGCCAAAGGCCTTGTGAGTTCCTACCACTCATTTGGCACTGTATACTCTTAGGTAGCTTTTTAAATTAATGGTTTTTATAGTATTCACAGAATTGTTCAACATCTACCACAATCCAAGTTTAGAATATTCCAATTCTTTTGTGACTGGCCCCTCTCACTCAACAGTGTTCTTGAGGTTCACCCGTGTTTAGGCACATATTTTGCCTTTTTAGAGATGAATATTCCAATGTATTGATATACCTCATTTTATTCATCCACTTACCAGTTGATAGATTTCGGTTGCTTCCACTCTTTGGCTTTGTGGATAATGCTATGAATGGTCATATACAAGTTTTCATGTGGGCATGTTTCTTAGTTAGCTTTTTACAACATGTGTTTTAATCTCAATTAGCATTGTGCATAAAAGAGCCAACAGCAGCCTAAGACTTGGAAAAAGGCAAGGCTGGTCTGGGAATTTGATTTCAGTAGTGTTTCTGCCATTACCTAAGTAAGTAGAATAGTTTACAGGGCCTGAGCTATTCGGATTAACAATGTGGTTTGCACTGACTACCATAAAAAAGCAGCTTTGCTATCCTCTTTAAAATGGATCTGACCATTGAACAGATCAAGCCACCAGTATTCAAGAAGCCAAGGAATAAAAATACCATTAGGAAGGACTGATAGAGAACTTTTACCTATTTTTACTCTGTGAAAACTTACCCTGACTTACCCCTCTACCTGACTATTTTACCTGTGACGCCCTGCACTTGACCCCTGGGACTCCTTGGCACAACTATAACCTCATGAATTTTTCTCTAAGAACCCCAAACCTCTGTTGGCATGGCGATTCTGATTCCCAAGTGAGTGAACTTTGCCTTTTAAATGACCTTCCAATTTTTTTAAGTTAACCTGAGAATAGCAAAATGTGCATGGAGTCTTAAAAATTTCCAGGAAAGCTCAATTTTTAACAAGTAGATTTACTCAGTCTAAATATCCCAAGTCTCCAGGAAAAAAAGAAGCTATTCTCAGCTATTAGAGAAACTCCAGAGAAAAATTTCAGAACACTGCCTGAAGTGTCTTCAAGTGGTAAGGTTCATGTGGATGTTCAAACTCAGAGCTGCCACATTTCATTCCCTGATTAAAGCACAATCTATGGGGGAGAGATTGGAAATTGTCTTTTATTTACTCATGCTTACAAATATATCCTTGGGGGAAAAAAACAGTCCTGTAGTAGGAAAAAAAAAAAGAATGTAATGCACTTAATGCATGGTTTTATCATTTAGTACTACCAATAAGTCAAGGTTCTCTAAAAATAAATGAAGAATAGAAACATGTACAAACCTTAACTTGCAGATATAAAAAGTTGCTCGATTTATCAGCTCCTTTAGAACTCAGCAAGCTGAAGTGTTTGCATCCTCCAGCCTTTGCCAGCTCTGCAGACTTCAGGACGTAATCACGATCAACACGAACAAACCCTTCCTAAAGGGGAAAAAGATGGGTTATTTCCAAAAAGCCATGGGTTTGTCTTAAAAATTTCACAGCTTGGTGGCAGGCTAGGTGGTCTGGGATGGATGGGGATAAAAACTAAAGGCACAAAGTAATACATGAATGCCAGGCCCCTGGGAAAGGCTCCAAGTACAATCCTCAGGATAGATGCACTAGCTTCAGCAGCAAGGACAGACTGAAACAAAAACACAAGGATAATGACACAAACATACACGCCAAAAGAAATCTGCAAGGAACAGTAACATCAAGCTAGGAAACTACTTTCAGTCTCACAGAAAAAGATTTAGCCTCTTATTACTTTAGAGCTGTCTCTGTTTTGCTGTGTCAACTCTAATGTGGTGTAGTTTCAAAGCATGGTGAGAATACTACCCATGTACTTTGAGAACAAAGCCTACATAATTTCCAATGTTTGTTTGCTTTACAATATATTTACATATTAGTACAAGTGCATCCTCCCATTTTTTAATTGATGGCTATGTAATCAAGAATGTTGGAGATCCCAGGTCCAGACCCAGTGCAGTCAATTTGCATCTCAGCATCAGTACATATCTAGTACATAGTAGGTACTCCAAAAACACCTGAATGAGGGCCTTCTCTGGTGGTGCAGGAGTTAAAAATAGTGCTATCAAGTAATCACCAGCCACTACAACACAGATTGATCCCCACCAGGGAGGTGACCCACATGGCAAGGCAGGCCTCTTCAGTCTCACCACTGCTCCCCTAGCAGTGTATTTCATTATATCAGCCTGTTCTTCTCCCCATTCTTGTCTCTGGTGATTCCTCTAACCACCTCCTCTTCCCCACATCTCTGGCCTACACCCCAATTCTTGTATGCATAAGTAAGTCTTTAAAAAAAATACTTGGATGAGTACATAGTAGACTAAGTAAAATAGTTAATAATAAATAGTAAATAAATAAATAATAAATAGTATAACTCTGTGAAAGCAGAGAATGGCAAATTCACACATAAAAATAAAAGAACAATGTAGTAATAAAAGGAGGAGGAAAGAATGTGGTGCAGAACCATTCCCAGGACCTCACCAAAGGACATATGTCTCAACCCACAAAAGAGAGTTCCATGTAGTAATCGCATCTGGAAACTAGCATAAATTATGGCTGACATCCTCTAGCTGGAGATGGCAGAATATAAAGTCTAAAGTCTACAAGCTGAGCTTCCTAGGTACCCACAATTTATAAAGCAATTTCATAGGTTTTTAAAGTTTTATAGATTTTATCCCAAGTTTGAAGACTGGATTACTGCCCAAATGATTTTTTTTAATTAAAAATTTCCCAAGGGTGGGCCCTCCCTGGTGGCGCAGCGGGTTAAAGCACTGCACTGAGAAGCTAAAGCCACTTCCGCATGAGTTCGATTCCCGCCTGCCCCGGAGGAGACCACATGGCGTGGCAGACCTCTCCTGACCCGCCCGCTGCTCCCCTCAGCAGTGTACTTCGTTGATCTGCCTGTTCTGCTCCCCACTCTGTCTCTGGTGAAGTCTCTCACTGCCCCTGAGTCTCTGACCTGTACCCCAGTTCTGTATGTACAAATAAATAAATCTTTAAAAAAAAAAATTTCCCAAGGGCACTTATTGATGCTACATATTTTATTTTACATGGAGATGCTTTAAAGATGGGGAAGAAGAAGGAACCATGAATCTGCTAGTTGCTAGGAAAGGTAAAGAAATGGGTATTACCCTGGATTTCCACAAAGGTACTCAGCCCTATCAACACCTTGATTTTGTCAGCAAAATCTATGATGGACTACTGACAGGTAGAACTGTGAGGTAATGAATTTGTGTCATTTTAAACTATTACATCTGAAGCAGTATGTTACGACAGCAATAGGGAACCTAAAAAAAGAATTTAACTTTACATAGCAGGCCTAAGTAAACTTTTTTTTTTTTAAGATTTATTTTATTTGTGCGTACAGAACTGGGGTACAGGCCAGAGGTGCAGGGGCGGTGAGAGGCTTCACCAGAGACAGAGTCGGGAGCAGAACAGGCAGATCTACGAAGTACACTGCTGAGGGGAGCAGTGGGCTGCGCCATGTGGTCACCTCCAGGGCAGGCGGGGATCGAACTCATGCTACAGTGGCTTTAGCTTCTTAGTGTTGTGCTTTAACTCACTGAGCCACCAAGGAGGGCCTAAGTAAACTTTTAAACTATGTGTTGGGGTAGATCATAGAAAGAAGGGAATATAAGTAAAAGCTGGATTCATCTTCATTAAACTGAATATATATATCAGCAACCAGGCCCCAGATCGTGAAATAGAACTTTACCATGACCTCACAGGCCTCCATGCTCCTTCCTCCACCTCACAGTACTTTTTAACTCTGCCCACTATCTGCAGAGCAGTGTTATTTTTCTGCCTCATTTTAGGTAACATCCATTGAATTCCTTACTCTGAATCAGCACCTCCTCCTCTTGCATGGTGCATTCTGACAGTCTGTCTAAACAACTGGCCCATCGCCTTGTCCTACACACTGACTCACACACTCATTGTCACCTTTCAAAATCAGTGTGAGGCAAACCAAATTTAATACTCAGCACATCCAGAGAGAGCAAGTGATTCTCCTCAGATCCTCCCTCTGAATTGAGATTTTAGATGTGCAGAAAGACTGCCAAGAAAAACAACCTAGAATAACAGAGAAAATTTCCCGAACCGTCAATGTTCCTTCCACATCTATTTCTTTCTCTCGCTTGAATTCACTGGAACTCTGATTTTTAATAACAAGTTCGTTATTCACCATAAACTCCATAGTTGACTAGTGAAAGAAACACCTTCTGGTTGTTGCCTTTGTTACAGCACTATTTCTTTTTAGGATTATTATCATCGTCTCTGTTAAAATACGTTTTCTTTCAACACCTTCTTTGAAAATAAGAAAGAGCTTCAGCCAATCACAAGGCTCTAGACTGACGCTGTCTCTCTCACTTAATCCCGGGCCAGTAAAGGGATAATTTGATTAAACTGAGACCCTAATTTATTTGGCTTTAGTTCTGGATCAACCTCCCCTTAATAGAGTGCTGTCGTCTCCAATTGTTTGATGAAAATTAAAGTGACATAAATACCATGGGACTTTTTCAATCTGATTAGTCAGCGAAGGCACATCAATATGAGCCCAGCCGTCAGACGCTGGCGTCCTTCCTTTCACCAGCCTCGCCACAACTGACAACCTCTCCTGCAGGACGAGCACCCACGCTGCTGCAGAGACCCCCACACTTAGCCCATCATCCCTGTTCAATGGGCCGGTTGACAGGGTGCCCATACCTTTCTCCATCGCTGTTCCCTGGACAAAGCTAAATATTGTTTTATTAGCAATCAATGGCTGTTAATCCAAAACGATTTCACAAATCCTCTGAGCCCTCAAGCTGATTATAAATACGCATTTTTCCAAGCCCACTAAGTTTTGAATTTCACTTCCCCCACTCTAATGCGTGGCCTTCTAGCTGGTGAATGAAACTCAAAAGCAAAGAGGTCAACGGCTTTCAAGGACTTAAAAATCAAAAGTGAACGTGGATCCTGGTGACTGACTTGGACATATCAACACACACGGATTTTCTTTGGAGTGAAGACAATTCCATTTATGGATAGAAAGGAACGAGCCTAAATATCATTAACAACATTTTTTCCTGTCCTCTAACTGCTTGAATAAAAAACATTATGAAAGAAGACAAATGTTGAACTATGAGACGCTATACCTGAAACCTATAAAGTTGAAACCAGTATTACTCACTATTTTAATAATAACAGAGAAACTAAAGAGGATACTCCTTAGAAACACATTACAACAATTAACAAAGATTTAATTTCCCTAACCACATCACACAGCCAGGGAAAAGATATTTTTTTCTGAGAACATTTGGTCTATTATGCTATTGTATCTTTATGAAAGCTGTAGTTGGTTTGTCCTACTCTAAGCTAGGAAGCAGCATTCCTTCTAGAAAAGTGAATTGATGAAACAGGTTCCCACTATACATTTCCTTTCCTGGAACCCCACATAATATAATTCAGCAGAGACCCTCACAGGCTCCTCAAAGATCAAGGGAGACAAATCCTCTACTTACTCTCAATTTAAGTTCTTTCTGATCTTTACCAATACCCAAAAACCAGGAATACTTTGGCTCAGGAAAAACTTATTCTAGCAAGGTATTTCAGCACTGAGAAGCCAGCATGCTGTCATGACTCAAAGTCAGCGGGGCTCTTTTCCAAGAAGGGAGAATCTATCATTCTGTAAAAGGCCATACATAGCTGTATTTTTGCTTCAGACTCTCTCTCCTTCACTCCATTTTCAATCTTCTAAATTAGACCAGAAAACAGAGAGGCTGACAAATAGAAACTGATAAAATCTGAGACCACTTGTCTGTGTCCCAGAGGGCAACTTTCTATGTACTGGATCAAGAGACCAAGACCTTAGTTAAAGAAAGCTCTGGATGGAAAAGATAATCAAACAACTACTGACAAACATTTCCTGAAAAGGAGCCTGTAAATATTTTCTTTGCAGGCCTCTGTGGCGGTTGCACAGCCTTACTCTCACAGGACAAAAGCAGCCACAGATAACACACACAGTCAAGAGAATAGCCACACCCCAAAGATTTTATTGATGGGTGCTGAAATAAGAATTTCCTTTATGTTCACAAATCATGATCTGATTTGTGAAGGGGAAGGTTAGAGCACAGGGACTGTGGTGGTGGATGGCAGGTGCTGTGTGGTGGGAGAACAATGTGGACTACACCTAGGGGGAGAAATCAAATACTATCCCCAAATTAACAATGACACAAGAAAAAAAAAATGTGTGTATATATATGTCTGTGTGTATACACACACACACACATATACATATATAAAAGAGGATGAGAAGCCATGAGACGCTAATGATGCTGAATAGCTGTGATTGGCTGTATTAATAGTGTTTGCAACATTGTCTCTTCAAAAGAATCCAAGAACTATTAAACTACCCCAAATGCAGTGACCAAAAACCTTAACACAAATAAGGCGAAAGCACATGGCATTTGTGAGCTGCTCCTCTTCACTCAAAGCCAGTGTAGATCTGGTTGTCCAAAACTAGTCACCCTTGACCAACACACACACACACATTCACTCAAGCAAGGTGATGGCCATCTGAGCTCTGGTACCTGAAGAACCAGGTGAAGAGCACCACAACATCCAGTGCCCACTGAAAGCAAGTCATTCATGAGATAAGGATCAGATGAATCGGCCTCTCCCTAGAAGGGTCAGCTAGAAATACAGAGTTCACGTTTCCAGCCTCAGAAATTCTGATTCAGGACGCCACTGCATTGATCACAAAGCTATGGCCAACGAATGTGATAAGGAAGATTAGCATTTAACCAGTTAGTGTTAGAGGAAATGATATTGAACAAAGCTAACAGACCCATTCTTAGTACCAGTTTCAACAGAAATCTGGGTAGGCTAAATTTTGTTGGTGGCACGGTCTCCCCCAAATTTCTATGTTGAAGCTGAAACATCCAGGACCTCAGAATGTGACCTTATTTAGAAATAGGATCCCTGTAGAAGTCATTAGTTAAGACAATGTCCTACTTGATGGGGTGTTTATTAATCCAATATGGCTAATGTCCTTCTAAAAGAGGAAACTGGGCCCTCCCTGGTGGCTCAACAGGTTAAAGTGCAGCACTGTGCAGTTAGCAGCAGCCACAGCAGCACAGACTGATTCCCACCAGGGAAGTGACCCACATGGTGCGGCGGACCTCTTCTGTCTCTCCCACTGCTCCCCTCAGTAGTATTTCAGTCGATCTGCCTGTTATGCTTCCCAGTCTGTCTCTGGTGAATCTCTCAACCGCTACACCTCTGGCCTGTACCACAGTTCTTGTATCCATAAATAAGTAGATTATAAAAAAAAAAATAAAAAGAGAAACTTAGGTTAGGCCATATGTATAAAAATGTCACCTAAACAGACAAAGAAGGTAGCCATATACAAGTCAAGGAGAGAAACCTGGAGAAGATCCTTCCCTCCAAGCCCAAAGGAGGAACTAAACCTGCAGACATCTTGATGTCATACTCCAGAGCTGTGAGGCAAGTTTCTCTTGTTTAATTCTCAAAAAGAGGAGTTAACATGTTTCCTGCCCCACTTAATGATGGGCAGAACTATGTAGCCAAGTGGAGTTATATAACATGGAACAAGTGAACTCAAGAGAGACACCTGAGACACAGGGACACAGGAAGAGAGACATGTGGAGTAAGACCCACCTGTTCTGGGCTTTGGACTTGTACCAGGAACTAGGAGGGGGATGTGAAGGAGAGGGACCAGAAGAGAGACATGTGAAAACACTTGGAAGAGACATGTGGGTGACAGACATATGGGGATGTTCACCATGGCAGCTGTTACCTCCATCTATAGTTTGATTTTGCTTCTTTCATCCCAGACTTGTCTGGCTCCTTTCACTCCTTTCCTATCATACCCCACCAGAAGGTGCCTTAGATTTGGGGCAAATTTTTGGGCCTTAGTGGCCTCACTTTGCGCCCAGCCTGTTTGGCTGGATATTTACCCACAAGGGGATGGATAACTTCGGATGTTTTATTAGAAAACTATTATCCTTTCTTCTTCTCTCTTTATGCACACTAATCCTATTAAAGTTCGTTTAGACTAAGAGTTGCTTTGTATTTGTGCACACGGATGGCCAGACACCTTTAACAGCATGCAAGTTTGGGGGTCCGGAGTGCCCCTTAATCTGTGCACTAACAATTATGGTACATTCTGACAGCATTAGAAGAATAACACACTGAAGACCCTGGCTTCTGAGAGGATTTAACATTGAGACAGAAACAGAATTTCTTGAGTTTCTCTAGAAATTCAGGTTGCAAAGCAAGCTATAGATTATACCAGTTACAAAACAGTTATAGAATGACACCAGCTTTTGTAGTGTACATCTGAAGAAACACCTAAAACCTTTTCTGTAGAGAGGGTTGCTGACCAGGTAGTATGAGCTTGGAAATCCACAACTATCCCATCAAACAAATCTACTATTACCTAGCTCCCTGTGAAATGTCACCTCTTAAACTGACCAAAGTTATCACAACCTCCAAAAATTTACACTGCATTCAATCCAAATTAGTCTCAAATTAAAACAAAAGAGAACTTTCTGGAGGACATGTCAGTGCTCCCTGGCATTATCCTTTTAAATCCTAACTCATTTTGGGGGCTGTATTTGGCTTACTAGTCTTATCTCTTGTGTACTCATAGTACTTTTATTTTTCAAATTAACTTCAGAGAACAAAAGGTACTGAGTAGCCTGAAGGGTGTAGAACCAATTCATCTTAAAAAAAAAAAAAAAAAAAAAAAACTTCTGGGTGGTGAGGACACCCACTATTCTGATTAAAATTGCATGACACAACTTGATTTCAACAAAGCAGTCTCTGAAGTACCTTTATGACAAGATTTGCCTTATGTCATGAAAACCAACTGCTCTAAGCCTAATGCAGTGTTTTGTATTTTGCTGAGTCACCACCAAAATCAGGTTGGCCCTTGAGAGTGTATCCTGCAATGTACTGAAGAAAAGCTTTTAGAGGGCACAGTGTTTGTGACTGTCCCTAGGACTGAAAATACTGCACTAACTGCTGCTGAGCAGACACGTGACCCTTTCTAGAAGAGCTAATATGCCAATTCCATGGAGAGTCAAGCTTCTCCACAATCCATATGTTCCAGTACAGGGTTCAAACCAAGTTGTGCTACCAAGAACTGCAGAAGATTTGGAAATACATCCTATTGAAAGCATCAGCATAATTATTCCCTGGATGACAAAGAGGCCCAGGGAAACACACTTGGGCATACCTCCTGGGTTGGCGTAAACAATAGCTGTTAATCTTGTGCTCCCCTAATAATTTTGATGGGTAGGCCAGTTTTTTAAGCTGTGGTGAGCCCTCCATGGTAGCACTTGGTCCTGAATATTTAATAGACATGTTTTAGCTCCAGCAAGTAAATTCTGCCAGAGGGATAAACTACAGTCACAGTAAAAAAAAATAAATAAATAAATAAATAAATAAAAGGTTTATTAACATTTTCTCAGGATCTACATAGGAGGCTATGACTTCTAACTACGTAGTAAACTATCACTTTTGGACAGGGGCCGATGCAATTTAGAACATCATTAAAAAGAAAATAAAATGTGTATTAGAACAGTTCTGCGTCAGTTAAGGCTGAATCACCACTGAGGTTGAATCATAGCTGGAGGCTGAGTCATCTCTGGAGGCTAGCTGAATCGTGGCACTGTTCTGATGTTCTATCCCAGAAGTTTAAAGCTTGGCATGAAAATAGGTTGAAGCAAATCATGCAAGTGAAGATAACAATTCAAGTTTAAAACATTTATAAAGAGAACAAAGAAGCTTAACTGCTAACGGCACGAATGCCAGTTACTTTTACCCAGACACAGTGGTTTGTCTTAGTCAACGGATGCAATGACAGCGATATTTGTAGGAGACAAGACCTTGTAAATATTTATGATGTCTCTAGCATGCAGGTCTGAATTCAAGGATAACTGTGTAGGTAAGATGAACTTATCAGTGGTTTTTAAAGTATAGCAAATGTTAGCGCGGCATATGGAGTCGTAAATGGTAATAACTTATCCTTATTACTATACAGTGCAGTTGAACACAGCAAATATAAAGAAAGAGTGAGCAAGAAAGGAATCTTTGACATGACTGGCTAGAGAAAAGGGAAAAGGGCATACTTCTTCCTTACCGCCCCAGCTTTTCCCCTGGTGGTACCCAGGCAACAGAATCCAACATCATGACCTTGAAAGGCAGAAGCGTAGTCATCCAATTTGTCAAAGTCCACCACTTCTTGATTCTAGACAACGACAAAGTAATATATAATGATGTTATTAAAACAATAAGCAATTAAAACAAATACCTCTCTAAATCTAAAGAATTATAGAATATTAGTTAAGTCTGCCCACTTAACATCAAATTCTGCAAACTCATTTTCTCCTACCAAAAAGCAATTAATCTGAATTCAAAATCAATAATGCCATTATGAATCTGTAACACACAAACTTGGACTAGAGAGATTCAGATTCTAAAGTCAGGTTCAACTTCTATTTTCTCTCTAAAGACCTGCTTGTATCTCATCAGAAGGGACGCCAATGAGATATAATATAGAGACAGGGAATAGCTTTTGGGATCTCGGTGACCTAGGTTCAAATCTTGGGTCGGTTACTTAAGTGGCATGTAATTTTTGCCACATTTTTTTTTTATCAAATGTTCCTCTGTTTTCTTAGCAGTAAAATATGAACAATAGGCTTTCCTTGAGTCTAATCCATGAATCACCTGCACTAGATCCAGCCAGCGAGGGCATACTAGATAAAAAGTCATCTTGTTGGGTCTCATCCCGTATTTCTGAATCAGGCACAGCATTTTTAGCAAATCCCCTTGGGTGATTCTTATGCACACTAAGATTAAGAACCTCCATCTAACCTCTAAGTTTATTATAAAACATAAAAAAAGAAAATTTGAGATGTTCCATCATCCAGGAGTTCAAATAAAATGTTGCTTTCCTATCCTACCATCCAGAACATTCTTTCAAGAGAACTATCCTCATATTGTACACAATACTGAAGATTAACATGTTTTCATACCTGACCAAAAGATGTGCCACCAATCACAATTATTAAAGCACTCAGTTCAATTTCTCATTACTGGAAATATTTAATGCATCTCATGAAGTCAGACTACAAAAACCACTTATTATCTGCCTATGTCTGGACAAAGGTAGCCACTTTAAACAGGAAAGTTCTGATGGACCAAAAACATGTACGGTGACCTGAACACGGACCTGAAGAAATCAAACACATTTACTTGTGACACCATTTGTTATTTGAAATGTCCCACCTGTAAAACTGTGGAGCTGAGTGTTATAGTTATGGGGGGTCTCAGAATTACACTATAATTTGCTGCAGTTCAAAACTCAAATATCTGAGTTTATGTGGGGAGAAAAACCAAAACTCCCCCACTTCACCCCCTATAACTTATACTTAAAGCATAAGTATCTAGTACTTTAGGTATTGAAGGCATTGTCACCAGACTGAAGTTCACGTATTACTGCCTTAACCATGGAAATGCAAGTGACAGTGAAGTGACTATTCCACATAGACACAAGCATGAAGTTCTGGAAAATCAGGCAGACAAAATTCTTTAACTGCATACCCCACCTTTCATTGCTATAGCTCTTACCTGCTCTACAAAGCATTTTTAGATCCGCTGACAGAATTAGCAGTGAATAGACAGATAGAAAACAACAGACTATAAAAAAAAAGTGTTTGTGAAAATTGCCCAGGACCGAAGAGTGATATCACTAAAATCCTATTTGAATGACCAGAAAACAGTGCTCTTCTGTCTCCCTAGGCTGCACTATAACCCAGGCTGGGCCTTACAGAGGTCTAGACAGACACAAGGGCTTTGACCAGACCACCCAGTGAGGGAAAGTCACCACTGGGCCTACAGTACAGAATAGAGCCTCCAGTAAGGGCTCTCACCGGCCAATCTTGGCAATATTCTAATTGCCTCTCACTGCTTCCACTACAGGCTGGGCCAAATTCAGTCTTCAAGCAAGAAATATGTTCATCCCACAGAACCACTGAATATACATTTCTGAGTTGTAGTTCAAATACCCACCACATTTTTATAAGCCTCCTCATGGAAAGTGAGCTTCCTCCGGCCAATAAGTGTGACTTTAGAAAACAGATTCTGCACCAGGATTTCTTTTAAGAGCACTTTACCGGTTTCCCCACTGGCGCCCAGAATAAAAACAGATTTATTCTGCATCCTGAAGTCTTCCCGAAGCTTCGGCAGCGCCTCTATCTCGGCCATGCTGCAGAAATAAGATCGATAGGTACTGGTCTTGGGATGTTTAAGGGTGGCTGGTGCTGAACCCCGGGCACGATTGTTATTCTAGAGGAAGATAATCGTGATTCTCTGCAGGTTATTACTCTTCTCAGTCAGGGCTCTGAGGAAAGTGCTGAATCATTAGCAGGGCGTGGCGCCTTATTAGCTGTCCCTAGTAACAAAGTCAACTTGTACCTCGGAAGGGCCAGGAAAAGGAAGACTCGCCCAAGTGCATAATCGGCTGGCTTCCAGAGGGCCAGTTTACTTCCCCCCACCCCCTTCCCACGTTCCAGCCCCTCCCCCCCCCTTTGCCCATATGAGTGCGAGGCCCGGCTCTGTCCCCTACGCTGAGGGGTTACCTAGCGCCCGCCCCCGGCCCTGCGTCCTCTCCCTGCAGCAGGAACAGGCCGGCCACCAGCGCCGCCACCGCCGCGCTCAGCGCCAGGGCCGTTGGGCCATCCCTCCTGCCCCGCGGCTCCAAGTCCGCTGGCTCCATCCGGCGAGCACCCCTCCAGGTCCACCCTGGGGATCGAAAGCCACCCACCCCCGCGCCTACCCGACTTGGCCTTCCGGGTGACTTAGCGACGCGGCCGCCTCGCCCCGCCCCCAGGGGCGGGACTAGCGGGGAAGCGCGTGCAGCCCGCGGGCCAGGTGAGCCCCACGGCACGTGCGCGGGCCGGGCGCGGCGTGTGGCGCGCAGACGGCTGCCCAGTGTCTGGAATCCCCAGATCTGCTCCCCGATGTTTTTTCCCTACTGTGTGGACAGAGTTTGCCCGTAAATCTAAGGCCTCAGCCAACAGAATTGGCCTTTGCCGATACCTTTCTAAACTTGGAACTTCAAGTGTGCTAGGCCATATTCATCGCGAAGGTCCCTCACCCCTGAATCAGCAAGTCAGAAACTGGCTGTTCCCTTCGACTTCTTTCTCCTGGCCGTTCTACATGCCACATTAATCACCAAGACCTAGCCCAGCTTTCTTTCATATATTTTCGCCCATAATTCAAGTTGTCACTGTAACTCTGCCAGTATAACTGGTTTCCCTACCCAGGTCCTGACCCACTTAATCTCCTAGCTGGCTGGACCAGGATGATTTCCTTAACTGGGTTCATTCTCTGTAGTCAACATCAGCTGTTTCCACTTGTCTTGGAGCTTGAGAGAATCATAAGCAGGAATCTGATTGACAGAGATAGACTGTTATTAACATCATTAACACTTGTCTAATTTTAGAAAAATTCACAATAAATAAGACAGGAGCCTACCTCTTATTCTAGAAGCCAAGTGAAACATACCTTTCCTTGGGAAACTACTTGGAATTATATGCAGATGTCACCTACGTTGTCAGTCAGACATTTCCAGGTTTCTCACTTTGAAGGAGTAATACAAAGATGTAGTGGAAGCCTGAGACAGTCTGACAGATTGGTTAATGGGTCGTAGGATTCGACAGTGATCTGATAGTGTAATGGTGTCTGTATTCTGTCTCCTTTAATCTCAGCTGTTTCAGAGCCTGTTCCTTACATTTTCCTTTCTGCTTAAGCGAGGGTTTATGGTGTTGGCAATCAAAACCTTGACCAGTGCAGTGTAGAGTATTTCCTTACCCAATGTCCAGTCACAGTACTTGGAATCTTGTCTTCAAGTTCCAAAAACTTTTCTACTGAGTGTGACTTAAACATCTTGTCAGTTAACAATGTCTCAAGAATTTATTCATTAAATCTGTTCCAGAGATTACTAATTGTATACTTGTCATTCTCCCCATCTCTTTTTTTTAAACCTGTGACATAATTAATACACCACAAAATGCTTACAGCCCAAAGGGTCAGTTCCCTGAATAGTTGAACAGTATGCCCCTGGGTAATTGCCATTAAAAATAAGATTTAGAACATTTTTTATCATCGCCAGAAAGTGACTTCATTCTTTCTGGGAACTCTCTCCATCCCAGAGGAAATCACTTTCTGGTTTCCATAAATATAGATTAGTTTTACCTGTTACAGAATTTAAATGGAATAACACAGTATATACTACTCTTCTGTGACCCAATTTTTAAAATTCATATAATGTTTCTAAAATTCATCACCATTGTTTATAGGGCTGTGTTACCACCGCCATGGGCTCTAGGGACTTCATAGTCCCATTCTTCGATAAAAATAAAATTATAAAGATGTTATATTAAGTACAGTGCTATAAAAACAAACAGCAATATGGTCTTCAACCTAAAAGCCCATTTTTACCTTTCTGTCTTTAAAGGACATTTCATGGGCCTAGGCCCTGTACCTATCTTTCCCAAATGGGTAAATCAGTTCTGACTATTTCTTGTATCAGTAGTTGGTTCCTTTTAATTACTGAGTAGCAGTCCCTTGTGTGACTACTCCAAACCATGTGTAATCATTCTCCCACTGATGAATCTTGGATTTGTCTTCAATTTGGAGTTATTATGAATAAGGCTGATATAAACATTGTTACATCAATCTTTCTGTAGATATAGTTTTACTTATCCCGAAGTCATAGGAGAGAACCAAGGAGTTCTCTAAGGGGTGCATACCATTTTATCCTCCCACTGACTTGGTATTAATATTTTTAATTTTAGCCATTCTGATGGACCTTAACATGTCAAAAGACTCTACACTCTTCTTTAAGCATCAGAACCCTCTCTTCTATCAGACCACGTGACTGTCCATTTAGATTCTATATTTCCCAGCATTACTTGGAAGCCCAAGTAATGAGCCAATGTTTTAGTCAATGATCTGCATGAAGAGGTTATATGTGTATATTTGAATCCCATTTTACTAAGGAATCTACCTGAGTTCCTGTCATTTTCCCTTCTCTCATCTCCTTTCGTGAGAGTGAGTATGGTACCAGTGAGCAAGCTCTGAGCATGAGGAGAAAAACACCCTAGAGAATGGCAAGGTAAAAAGTTGGAAACTGTGCCCCAGGAGAACTAGACAGACCACAGAGCTACCAGCTCCTCCTGGACTGCTCATCTAACTCTGAGCAGTGAGAGAAAGGTAAGCTTCCATCATATTGGAGACACTGTGATCCTGCGAACAGCTTAGCCAGCGTTTTGCTTAACATATGCTCCTTTGAGTCATTCTTGCCAATGATATTTATTGATTATCTAATTTGATCTAAATACTGCAGCAGGCACTAACTGTAGATTGTTCTCACATGAATCGGATACCAGGTAAATTCATTCTCACCTGAAAAGCCAAGTTATATATACCTGGGAAGCTAAATAAAGCTACATAAAAGCTAAACAGCATTATAAAATATCCTGCAAGTGGCCCTCCCAAGTGGCACAGTGGGTTAGCATGCAGCACTGCAAACTAGCCACAGCTGCTTCAGTGAGAGTTAGATCCCAGGCCAGAGGTGATCCAGCGTGGCAAACCTCTCCTGACCTGCCTGCTGCTCCCCTCAGGAGTGTACTTCAATCAGCCAGCCTGTTCTGCTCCCCACTCTGTCTCTAGTGAATCCTCTTACCGCCCCTGCACCTCTGGCCTGTACCCCAGTTCTGTATGCATAAATAAATAAATCTTTTAAAAAATATAAAATATATTCTGCAAGCTTTCATATGGTAGTACATGTTCAATGCAAAAAGATAAGCCCTTGACCTTTCTTCTCTACTGGCTGGCTAGTAATAAGGCTCTGATATTAACTGTCACATTCTAGACTACTTGGCCAACAGGGAGAAAAAAGGGCACAGGGAAGGAGAGCTAGGGGACTCAAGGAAGTGGGGGTGGCATGGAAGGGACCTAGGCTAGAAGACAAACAGGCCACATCCAGGTTTGACATTACCTCTTACTGAGATGAAACTCCTTCCTTTCTCTTGGCCTCTACTTTCCTATCTGTAAAATGGGAACTGGTTTATTATGTCCATTTGCTCCAAGAAAGCAAAGACTCACTTGAGCTAGCTTGAGTAAAAATAGTGAATATTGTAAGAATACATAAAACGTGTAAGAGGGACCGAATCTCAGAGAACCCTGAAACAGGACCTGCTATAGGAGTGAGCCTCACTGAGACTGGAACCAAAAGGTAGTTAAGGCTATGGGCCAAATTTAGGGTCTTCAGGATCAGTGAGGAAATGGCAAAGCAGCATTTATAGTATAATCTGGCATAAACAACTATGTCAAATAGTGTCTCTCAAAGCCATAGGGTCTCTCTCAGCAAGTAACTTTTTTAAACCTGTTTCTTTATCTGTAAAATAAAGATGATACGTTTACTTACTTTATAGGGGACTTGTGAAAATTAAGTGATATGCTTCCTATAACACTCAACAATGTATTTAGTACACACTAAGGTCTAAATGAAAGTCAGTTTCTATTTTCTCAATTATAATATTCCTATTCATTATTTCATTTCACTGAATTAGAGTACAAACTTCAGTTTAACTAGGAATCTGAAGGATCCGAGCCTGTTTATACAGCTGCTTGAGCAACAACTTCTTTGCCAGTGTCTGAGGAGCTTTTGGGGGATTGTGCAAACAAAGAAGATGCAGGCATGATGAGTTTCACCTAAAAAGAGAGTCCTTAGAATGGAGGGTGATTCAAGACAATGGGATCTGTCCAGTGACTACCTCTGAAACTCTGTTTCTTTCTGGTGGTGGTGTGTGGTGTGTAAGAGTCCTATGATATGCAGGGAAAGCTAAAAGGTCCTTGTACTAGTGAACAGACAAGAAGCTCTGCAAGCCACTGAAGAACTCTCAGCACTGTGTAGAGGGCTCTTTTATATACCATAAAGTGAAAGGAGAGTGGGCAAGCTTTCTTCTTCCATAGAGAACTTTCTCGGTTCTATGGTCAGTTTCTAGGCTTTGTTTGGGTTTACTTTTGTCCTGTTGTTTTGTTTCATTATAATATTCATAGATGCATGTGAATAAGGTCATCTTGTATTTGTCTTTCTTTTGGTGGAGGTAGAAAGGGAGGAAAAAGCAGGAAGAGACCCTATCGCAGGGGGTTATGGGTGACCTGGGGGTGGGTGTGGTGTGGCAACATCTGATGAGCTGTGAAGCTATACCCCTGAATCATATACAGTGCTGTAAAATAATGAGCTCAATAAAATAATTTAAATCAAAAAACAAACATACAAAGGAGAACTTTCTACAACTTTAAATTCTCAAGGATTTCAGAACTTTGGCCTGTACGAGAAAGACACAAGAAGGAACTAGTAAGAGCTGTGTGGCCATATAAAACATGTAAAAATATAGTTCCAGAAACACAGAAATGAACTCTATAGGTTTGTGTGAGTCTCCAGATAAAGAAAAAGACAGAGGAGGGACCCAGGTAACAAAAAAAATATACAATTTGCAGCATAAGCACTGAGTAGAGCAACCGTCAGAAAGGGAAAGTAAAAGTTTAATCTGGAAGCGCACTTATATGTGTTCTGTGTGTAAAATCCAGATCCAGTTTCACATCTGTCAATTCCTGAAGAGAGCAGATGCTTTGCTAGTTCTGGCTTCTAAGCACTAGATGGAGCCAGAGAAGTGGTTTATTTATTTATTTGTTTATTTTCTGGACCCACTGGTATTGGAAAAATCCCCTCTGAACTT